CTTTAGTAAACAACTCTTTTGAAATATGGGTACCTATCTAATATTGCAACATTGAACTAAATCGCTTCAAAAGTCATGAGTAAGTAAAGGCAATTTGACTAACATTATTTTCACTACTAGCACGAGTTGTCAGGTTTTTCGAGAAAGATAGTATATTGAGGCATTATATTAAACAATTATACATTGTGCACAGCTGTGAGTCTGGACCTTCCAAGAGTACCCTTCTCCGACACTCCGTTCTGGAGATATGTGCATTTGAAGTCACCAGTAGCTATATCTCGTGTAGACCTGCATTCCTCCGCCACTTGGTTTTCAAGATATTCGTTTCGACTTCCACCAATAAATATGTTTCGTCCAGGCGATTCATTTTGCCTTTGTGTCCCCTTTTAGACAGCGAAATTGGATGGCCGTCTGGCACACCTTCAAGGTATAGGCTACCTGCTGCAAACAATTCCAGGACTCTAGGACCATTCCCTTAGAAGTAGTTCGAAACGGCAGAAGTGGGTCCGGATGGACGGACGGACAAAACGCAAACAATAGCACATTTTTTTAATTCTTAAAAAATGCGCTAAAAATGAGGTTGGTTTCAAGGTTGAACCTTGAAGCTTAAACCTTGAATCCTTGAACCTCCAAGTGTGAATCAACCAGAATCTTGGACCCTTTAAACCCGAAGCTTGAAACTTCAAGCTACCAGTTTGCATCTTAAAACTGGACCGATTAAGCTTAAACTTAATGAACCGTGAGCCTAGAATTTCTAATCTGCAATCCTTAATTTTGAGTAAAAGTAAATATACAGTTAAATCTTAAACCTTTAATCTTAGATGTGAAACCTAAGTCCAAGTTTTGGATCCTAATTTTTGGCATTTGACGTGCGAATTCTGAAGGTTATATGTGCTGCTTTCATGAAACGGGCATTTGGAGCTTTGATCTTGGAGCTGTATCTTGGTGTTTGAATCATGAAGTCTAAACCTTGAAGATGAAGTATGAAGTTCAAAACTCCAATCCGACAGTTTCAAAGTTCAATCTCGGAACTTAAAAATTGGATCACATGTCAATCTTAACGCTTGGGCCTTACATTCCGGATCTTGAGTTCTGACACTTAAACCTTTAACGGCGAATTCTAACGCTTACGTTTAAAGATTGAATTATGAAGCATGCATTTTTGAGCTGTAATTTTGGATCTTCGTGTTTCAATCTTGAAACGTGAAGCTCCAATCTTGCGGATTGATACTTAAAATATAAAATTGGGATAGGTATATTGAATTATGTATCTTGAATGTTCAATCCGGTAGTTGAATACTTACAAATTCTCCCTTTTAACTTGGATTTTAAAACTTGAATGTTGAAGGTCACGGTTTGACCCCGAGTCTTTGATATTGGGGATTTGGGGCGTGATTGTGCAACCGCGCGATCTCTACATGCTGACTTTTGGCGAGTCCTGATTACTACAAAACACTATAGACACAATGAAGTACAAGTGGCCATTTCTTGCTAAGACACTGTATGTCACTTTTCCTTCTTCAAATTAGGTACGTTAGTAACAAGGGTAGGTGTAGGCAAGAATTCAATTTGAAGGATTATAGCTGAAACATTATTAAGGGCAGTTTCCTCCAATTTAGGACTGCAGGGTGAACTATTGTTTCTTTGCGAAATCAAAATTTTGAATTTTTATGTAAAATCGCGAATTCTTTAGCAAAAATTATTACTTGACTCGCTGCTAGATCTATATTTGAAATATGTTATTGATCTCCTCTTTACAGTTTCCTGAAATTTGATTTCAATAGGTATTTGATTTTTCTATAGGTTTACTTGCAAACACAAAACTACCACAACTACCACAATGTTTTGAATGTTGCGGGTGATCAAAAATGAGTTGCTGTCGAGTCGCCTTTGGAAGTGCAAGTTAGGTACGATTTCTCATCTAAACAAAAATTCTAAAGCTGACTCGACAGCAACTCATTTTTGATCGCATGGTAGAACTCCCAAAATTTCTAACTTTCCAACGAAATTTCAAAAAATGTAAATGAAAACTGTAGTGCCTACGTTTATATAAAAGAGAATGTTCGAGGATTCTTAAAGCACATTTTAAAGAAATTTGAAGAATAAATTCCTCATTGTCCACCTATCCGTCTGCCTATTCGCCTGTCTTTATCTTAGGTTGTCACTTAAAAAAATAAACGAGACTGCCACCTCACTATTCGTCACTGATTACATCAAAAGGTCACAAAAACTAAATTTGAAGTAAAATTTAATTGGACCTGGTTGCACAATTTTTAAATCACACACACGGCGTGCTCAAATTACACAAGGCTCTAAATTTACTGGGTCAGTAAACACACGCGGGATCGGATGATCAAAAAATTTCTCCCAAAACTAATTCCCACTATTATCTTTAGTACTATTGTTCCTTTGTAATATCGCGTGTAATAAATCCGAAATGTTTTTTTTAATTGCACCAACTGTATTCATGAACGCACAAGAGAAAGAGGTCACCAAAATACCACTGAATCGTGTCTCATGAGCAAGCGAGTGACCTAATGCTGTGCCAGCAACTGCAACCCAATAGCAATAATTAAGAAGGCGAAATGTGATATAAATCCCAGACATCTAGGGTCGAGATGCTTTTGAAACCCATTAAGAGAACAATTCAAATTACATGACGAAGAAAACGCACCGCATTTGCACCGCGGTTGACAAATATATTCGTTGAGTTTCCACCAAGCATATCATTTATTTGGAATATCAATTAAACCCGATAAATTTCTATATCAAATTGTTCTAACGTCACGACGAAATTTCGAAAAAATTTAAATGCAAACAGAGCTACCGTTACAGGGTATTTTGTATGTCAACTTTGAGCAGATTTCATTATCTGAAAGAAATTAATTCTATTGGTCGAACAGATTCGAATGTTCGATGGGCAAGTTTCAAAAATTAACGTAATAAGAATCAGGTCGTTCGGAGGGGAAATACGGGTCAAGTCACGATAGCACTCGCGTCGACCTGGTGAAAGAATATTGGTGAATAGATTCAGCTTAAAACGCCAGAAAAACTAAGTCGTACCGCGAGAAGTTAAATCAATTATCCTATCAATTGCCGATCGCGAGATCAAAGTTCTTTTTTGATGTGAGGAAGAAATTGCATGTAACTACTCTAATTCCAAACTATACGATTGAAATCTCAATCGAATAAATCAAACTTTTGTGAGTTTCACATTCAAAGAATAAATTGTGAAACAAGAAATTAGTCGACATACGAATAGGCACAGAAAAAGCTACTACGGAATTGAACTCTGTGACCATGAAAACTAGAAGAGTGGACTAAAAATAACTGCATTTGTAATCAGTTGCACGACTGCCGTTAGTTGTCCGCAGATATTACTTTTCAATGAAATTTTTGCTTACAGGCGGATTGCGTAATGTAGTGTAATCACGAGGGAATAAATAAATTAGTACCGTGTTTCTATAACCCCGTAAACCCTTAAAAAGTGTCATTTCAGTGTAGCCGCGATTACAAAAGTGTTGCTTTAAATAAACCAAACATTCGAAATTAGTAATAGGTATTACCGACAGATTTGCAATTGATTGGCTACCCTCCTACCAGTGAAGGTTTTGAGTATATAATATAGAGAATTAAGTGGACATTTTGAGTTCTTCTATACATCTATCAATGACAAGCAGAAGTAGCGCCAGCAATATTAATTTATGTAGGTATATATAATGGGATTGCGCGCCTCTTCCGGCAATTGCGTAAAGTAAAAAGTAATAAGTCTATCCCTCCATTTGCGTATGATCTTTGGTACGTGTTACAGATAGTCTAGGCGATAATGACATCTAACTGGACATTTTGAGGTGGAAAAGAAAAAAATGGTGGAATATGTTCAGTTAAGTGTCAGAAAGAACATATTAAAAATCCCACCCCCCAGACCATGTGCTAAAGGCTCCAGCCACCCCACTATCCCCCAAGCGAAAACACGGTTTTTGGGGGATGGTGGGTTGGATGAAGCCTTTAGCACAGGGTCTGGAGGGTGGGATTTTTAGTATGTTGTTTCTGACACCTAACTGAACATATTCCACTATTTTTTCTTTTCCACCTCAAAATGTCCAGTTTGCCAATTTTACAGTCTCTATCGCCTAGACTAAGAGCCACTTTTTTAATATACTGTACCTAATTTATATATATTTCGTAGTTTACATGAAAATTCAAGTATTGTCTTTATAAAGGTTTACAGGTTATGTTTAAGGTGGAAGTCGTATTTATGTTACCAATGTATGTAGTGGTATGGTAAATTGGCACCTTGAAAATTGATTTTTCCGATCCGAATTAATTTATCACTTTGTATGTAACGCTGTTGGTTGAATAAAAACCGGAATTTTATGTTTATTCCGTAAACACAAAAAGAACTAAGTTTTGTACAAAACTCGAATAGGGTTAGTGTTTTCAAATGAATTTATATGAATTATGTTGGCTGCAAAACATGTAAAATGACGTTTTATCCTCACATGAGTTTCCACAAAAGAGCTTTAAATGAATAAAATCTCTCACAATCATTTCGTGCATGCATAAAGTTTTAGGCTTATATACATAGTAGAAGCTTTCAACAGTAAGTTGTCTATTCGAATCAAGTTGCAGCCGCTTTCTATTGAACAAGTTAATTTCTAATTTAATTTGTTAATTAATTCTGTAGCGGGGGCTCGGCAGGGGCTAATCGGTTCCATTGTCCTCGGAATTACACATTTCAAAGCACCCCGCTTTTATCACGTCTCTTCTATACTCGCATAGATTTAGTATCCACCCTAGTCAACACTGCTATTGACATTTATTTCATTAACAAGTACTCACAATGCATATACTACATGTTAATGATTAATTCCGAGCAACGTTTCCGGTTTATCGCAAACTATCCTGCGTTCTTGTCGAATTTTCATTTTAATTATACTCGCCGAGACGACCGCCGATGCGTGCTGTAATTGATATTCTAACATTGGCCTTAATTACAGGTATGGTTTCAAAATAGAAGAGCGAAATGGAGGAAAACGGAAAAGTGCTGGGGTAGAAGTACAATAATGGCTGAATATGGACTGTACGGGGCGATGGTGAGGCATTCCCTTCCGCTGCCTGAAACAATACTAAAAAGTGCAAAAGAGAACGAATCGGTGGCTCCGTGGCTTTTAGGTAAATAAACACATTACACCCAGTGAAAGATCTGCATTATGCAGGGCTTGTTTAGTGTACACATGACCACACATTTTAATTGGTTCGTCATACATTGGGGATTTGCTTAGATTATTGTTATCGATCTAACAGTCTTTTTGTTGTCCACTTTATTAAACAGTGTATAACTTTAAAGTTCATTTCATAAAAACAGCAATTCAGATTAATCACAGAATCCCTGACAACGGTTTTTGTGACAATAGTTGCCATAAATGTTGAGTTATGATTCGTTTGTCTTTAAGTTTAAACTTGACGATACAACCGCCACATTTTAAAATGAGGTAAGGTTTCTACCATTCTCATCATTGGTTTGATCAAGATAAACGGATGTGAAACCAGGCAATAGTAACACAAAACTTTCTATTTCTATCTTGCGAGAGTCTTATAACAGAGGTGGTGTGGTTCAGATACAGTTTTACGCTGCCACCATTAGTAGTAGTAGAATGTAGGTCCTTTAAATATGCCTGTCTGAATCAACAATCACTGTTTCACAAAGCAAAGTTTATTGTCTTGAAATGTATCAACTTATAACAGTAATTATTATTTATCACTCACAATTTATAACATAACACGAGCGGGAGTTTAATTACTTCTCTAAGAATCGATGTTGGAACTCACTGAAGCACAATTCGATAGCGCTCGAAAGTGCTCGAACGCTCCTGAATATTCTAGAATATTCTCGAACAAACACGTCATATTTTCCGGAAAGAATGCGTCACATCCGTTTTCGTTTCTTATCGCCGATGATTAATTTTTTAGGGCGCTTCGGCGTCTAGCGGGATTTCTAGAATATTCGCTACAGTAACTTATTTTGCATTTTTATTGCCAACAAAACTACCATAATATTTCTTGTTCTCGCCTTATAAGGTATCGTATTCCCTGAAGTCAAAATGGCCTTGATGTCCTGGATTACTACCTATACAGGGTGTTAGTAAATATGATTTACATACCCAACGGGCTAATTCTTTGGCTTATTTTATGACTAAAAGTTCATATAAACAAATATTCGCAAACGGTGTTATAATTTCAGAATTACGTGCATATAATTACAAATGCAAACACAAGATACAATATCAAATGCAAACTGCCAAAACTAATAAAAATAAGAGATTATCCAAATAAAATCGGGACCAATTGGACAAATTTAAAGGTTTTAGTTTCAGTTAGCCAACTAGAGAAAATAGTTTTTAATTTTTTTCTCGCTAACGGCCGCAGATACGAAAAAATTGGAAGATACCAAAAAGTGTCTAAATAAACCAGAAAATTAATTTTTTGTTTTACAATCTATCAGCGGCACCGCAAAAAAATCAGGGGTAGACATGAAACATGACACCTGAAAAAACAGCACCCTATGGATTATCACTTCCATCAGCGATGCATAACTTATATTCCTAATTTGAGCTAAATATCTCAAACACTGCAGGAGATAAATAAAAACCCTATAAAAATCGTGAAATTATATAGCACCCTGTAGATCGGTAACGAAGCGTTTGCGGACCTATATTTATATGAACTTTTAGTCCTAAAATAAGCGAAAGACGTATTTTTGAGTATGGATTGAGGTTAATTTGATCTAATATTTTGGAGTTATTTAATGAGAATGTGTTTTGTTTTTTTTATGTGTGTATTCTATTGCTGATTTGACTTGGTTTTGTGGTTTGTGAGAATTTGTTTTATCGTGGGATGTGATTTTGGGGCTACTTGTATATTCTGTTGTGTCAGTGTTTTGTTTTGTTTATTTTTATCACTTGTAGGTTTCGAGTAAATCACATCAACTTTCTTATTTCTTATGGACACCATATTGGATTTTTACGTCACTCGATAAAGAAAAAATTTACAAAATCAGCAATACTAAACACTTCGTATTTATTTGTCTATGAAGTCTTGAGTTGAATGATAAAGTAGTAAAGAATTTCAGGTACTCAAGTAAAATTTATTATAACTCTCGCCAGGAAAGATTGCCAGTCACAGAACACTTGATCCCGATCTACAATCTTTGTTTTTCGTAAGGTGCTAGCGACTTCCGGGATAGTATCGTGACAATGTTGAACGAAAAGACTTTTTGTTCAACATTAGCACGATCCTATTCCAGAAGTCGCTCGCATCTTAATAAAAACAAAGATTGTAAATCGACACAAGGTGTGCTGTGACCGGCAATCTTTCCTGGTGAGAGTTATAGGTTTCTTTAGGCGATCGATTTCGATATGCTATCCTCGTCAGGCCGTAGCTAAAATTATTATAATAAATAGTATTTATAAAAAAGGTTACAATAATCACGTCAGCTTCGTATTTAATTTGGGAATCAACCTTGCTTTTTTGCTTTGAAGTTTACAATGTGTTTCTTATGCCAATAATTCCATGGCCCTGTCGATGGTGAATATGCGAGACACTGAACGAATGGATTTGGTTTCAATCACAATTAGTCATGGAATTATTGAAATAAGAAATACATTGCAAACTTCAAGACAAAAATTCAAGGTCGATTCTCCAATGAATGACTAAGTGTTTGGTATCACTTGTTTCGTAATATTTTTCTCTACCGAATAACGTAAAAATCCAATATGGCGTCCATAAGAAATAAGAACGTTGTGCAACGCCAACTTGGCTAATAGCCGAAGCAGAATAAAACACACGAATAAATTTATTAGCACTACCATACAACCCTTTTCTCGCTGTGGCCTCTTTGACTGAGTATCCAGCAGCACACACCTGTCATTAGTTCAGTGGAGACGGCATGGGTCCCACCTTGACCAGAACCTACTACAATCTTAAAGTAACAAAAGAAAGAAAATGTGGGCGCCACGAATTCCTTCCAGCAGCAGCTACATACACACAGATGACCCAGGATTAGTTTTCATGCGACAAAGATAACACGTGGTCGAGGACCCCTAGCTCCTCCCATGTTTCCGCTGAAATACCCCCCAGAACGGTTCTCACCTTCTATAGAAGCGGATGGCTCAAATTAAAATAGCCTAACACTACTTTGCTGCAATCTCTCCGACAACCAAAAAATATCTACCGCGTAGTTCCAAAATCCACCACATCGATGTAGAAAAGATCAAATACCATCAAGCGACATCAACATCTCCAATTGCTTTCTTCAAGCTAAAACCAACGGAAAGCTAACGAAGACAAAGCAAACCAATATTCATACTACGAGCAAAAATCATACTCGACCAAAATTCCTACGCTTAAGTCAAACTAACCGTTACAGTTTATGCGATTTACTCGAAACACACGAGTTATAAAAATTTTTATTTAGCACCATCATAAATCTGAGAAAAAATGACTACGGGTTTGTTAAAACTATTTTTGATATCTTTGAAAATAAATTAACGCCAGCTCATTTTGGAAATCGGGTTTTTTGCCATTACTTCGTTGTTGGTAGAGCTACAAGAAACTATGAATGACAAAATTAAAATTTGTCCATTTAAGCAACTTTGTATCTGTTACGGTTTACGAAATCCCCATAGGGATAATGAAAAAATCACCCTGTATATACACAATAATGAAAAAAATCTTCGGACATGGTTGTTACAAGTTTTAGGGTTGATAATATTATTTTAAAACACTATAGGGCATAGTATACCAAATTTGATTTAATTCAGTGCAATATTTTAGCAATAATATGAAGAATAGTCAAAAATTGCCAGTTTTTTGGTACTTTGACACACTTGCGCATGCGCAATTCTGCCCAAAAGCTTTTCCTTGTATGTCTAAGAATATTTGACCACAATTAGTTCCAATAGGTTCAGCCATTTAGCCGGAAATGGGAGTGCAGACAGACAGATTGACAGACCGGCATCATCGAGATTTTGTTTGATTCGAGTTTCTGGTGCTTCAGAAGTGTAATTCCGTCAAAAAAGTGCGGGATCATTGTTTACCCCATTGGGGATTTACGATAATTCAACCGGTTGAACCGGGTTGGTAGATTTTACTATGGTTACAATTATTGCCACAATTGTTTCTATGGTGATTTCTAGCAATCCGGTTAAAGTGGTTGAATTATCGTAAATCCCTATTGCAATACCTCCCGGTTGGTAAAAACCATGTCAATGCATAGAATACAATGGCTATAATAGGGAAGGAACTTTTTGTTTTGTAATAACGTCACCACGAACTCTGCCGAACGCGTAAGTGTCGACACTCACGTTCAGTTCGGCGGACGAGTTTGGCCGGAAGACATCGGTCAGCCGGCCAGTTTCCAGTTTTTCACAACACACGTACAGCCGGCCGGCCGGAAAATTCCTGTCATCGATGAGAATTGTGAAAATTGCATTGTAAGTAGTATTGCTCGGCCGGACGACCTTGACCGGCCGGAATAATTTTGAGCATCGATAATAGCCGGTCGGCCAGGACTGACAGTCCACGGACTGCCAGCAAACTGAACGTGAGTGTCGAGCTTTAGTATTGAATTAATTTTGTGCTTACGAAAAGTGTCGACAAGGGTTGCAAAAATTCGAGAAGAGTTTCGGAGATGTTATGGATATAATTTTTAATAACTAAATTTTTGAAGAGGGAAAGAGTCTCTCATTTGCAATGTTGGTTTCCTATAGCCATCTATTCCATGCATTGACATGGTTTTTTAGGTATCCATAGTCCAATTGAGTATATTCCCTGTATAGGTACCTATCGAAAGAATATTTAAAAAATTTCGAATCACCCTATATTATATCAACCAACACGAACTTGTTCGACATCACAAACTGTTTTAAAACGGTCGTTTCATAAATCAATTATTTAATAACACGATAGCAGTGGGTTATCAAATTTATTCGAGCCACTCTTTTAGCGACAGTAGGTACTCTGTACACCAAACCTTTAACAAGTGCTCTGGCTTATTACGTACGAATAATATAATAAATGCATAAAAGGGTGGGTATTGGTAAAAATGATCATTTTCAAAATTGTATACTTTGTAGAATAAAGATCAAATATAATTTGTACTGTATTGTTACTGATAAATTACCATTCAATTAGTTAATTAAATCAAAACGTTTAATTTATTATTTATCAATAGGAATACAGTGCTGGTTAGTACCGTATAACTTATACAATTACATTTCCAGCTGTGAAAAAGCAATCTGAGTCAATACCCACTACTTTCCTGCATTCACCCCAGCCAGACGACCTACTTAATAACTTTAGAAGAGAACTGAAAAATGGTAAATATAATACTGAATTTTCTCTAAATTAAAAAAAAAGCTTTCATAAGATTTTTACTTTTCCCCGCGTCTCGAGTCAAGCGTTGAACTCGCATTAATCTACGGTTAAAAGCTTCCACTAATACTTAACGACATTGCGACATTGTGTATATCATTGTAGTGAACTTCACTTGTTTGCAGGGATGCATCGGAAATCAATAGAAGCCGCTCAACATCTCAAAGACCAAGAGAACTGCAATAGTAACAGTAGCGACCACGAAGAGACGACATCAATGAGAACGGAGGCCAGCGATACCAGTGTGGCGTCAAATCAGCAACAAAAGAACGGCCACACCAGTTCATCGAACCCGGTCTCCTCGGATAAAGACTCTCACCACAACCAAACCTTCCCAGAAGATCCAGAAGTGTTTCGAAACAATTCGATCGCCTGCCTGCGCGCGAAAGCGCAGGAACACAGCGCGAAAATAATGAACAATCACGGTGCAATGTTACAAGTACGGTCACTAACGAGTTTAGCAGGCGGGCAACAGAGCTGTGACGCAAACGCAAATAACTTACATCATGCGGAGGTTGTGAATTCGGATACCAGTTCGACTAGTATATTTTGACATAGTAACTCAGACAATTGATGAAATCTTTAAACGAGTCCTTGTTTAGTTAGTTTAATTCACCGGTTTGGTTCAAAGCAGAAGCTGCAGTCGTTTCCTGTATACGACGATAAACGCATTTTTCAAAAAGTTTAACCACGTGGTGCTGTAACACGATTTTACTATGCCCAAACCATTTCGTTGAAAGAAATGAAGTTCAATATTCAGGAACATAACTTTTCGAAAAAACGCTATAGTCGCCACTTCGCTCTTCATTGCAAAACGATCAACTTGCATTGAATGGTAGCAGTGTGCAATGGAAGAACTTAATCTCAGAACATGGAACAAGCCATGTCTAGTTCTTGAAAAATTGAACAGCATTATTCTTAATGAAACGGAGCCCCTCTCCAACAGCAAAGTGAGTGACCGCGAGAGGGTCTTTTTTATAATCAGAGTCAAACAACCACAAACATTGTTATAAAATCATTGATCGAACGAACATAACTTCGGTAAATACAAGTCATAGATACATAGTTTGTGGATATTTGATGCAATACGTGCAATCCCTTGTTGAAGGTCTGACAAATTATTGTATAAACCACAAATAATGTATCAGGCTCAAGTTGCACTTTGTCTCCTTTTTTGACTAGGTACAATTTTCACTTACTGCAATAGCAACTTATTATTCATTTTAAGCATTCTATGTTGGTATTTTATAAACAGATACAACGATTTAAAAAAATTGGTTCAAATTTACAACGAAATGGAGAAATAATACAATAAGCAAAGCATTTCACTTAATTTACAAGCTAATCTAATCTAAAGTTGTTCTTATGTTAAAGTGTTATAAGTGAAATACAATTCTAATTAGACACCGAATGCAACGAAAATGAGAAACGCGTTTCTACTCCTGGCTTGACCATTTTTGAGTCTCATATATATTTTTGATAATTTTGTATATATGTATTAAAATTTTTTACATACTTTACTTCACCTAACATGTATAATCTCCATATTTACATGTAATTTATTATAACATTTGTATTGTTGTGTACATTTTTATGTAAAGTTCCCGATTATGTAGTGGCAGGTAGTGTACTTAATATACTATGTGTGTTACATTCACCTGTGAATAATGTAAAAAAATGATCTCCTAAGCCTAATGTGATCGAGGTAAAATTGTACGCCATAAGAATGGCGGCAGATAATTGTGCTCCACATGTTTGAACGGATGCTTACACGTATATTTATTGGGTATGAAAAACCACACACTTTTTAGGTATTATGATATTATTGAAGTGCAAATGTATAATTCCCACGTACCTATTAGAGTAGAAATTTGTAGATATATTATATCGTATTATTTAAAAATAAAAACAAATTATAGTGTTTTATTTCCAATGCAATGTTTTTAATTACTTAAGTATAAAACTTATACCTATACGTGTATTGTTCGCAATGTCTATAAATAAAATATTTAAATCTGGATTTTTTAGTAAAATCAGCAATCTGTCAACCTTTAAACAAAGGTTAAAGGAATTTATTTTTTATCTACAATTATAGGTAAGTAATGGTTTTCGGAAGAAGAAGAAGAATCATTAGTACTAAGCAAACTGCCTCTGTTGGAGTGTCGTTGAAGATGGCACAGCGGAAGCGTTCATAGAACTATTGAAACAGAGTAGTAGTTCCAATCGCACTAATCTTACTCAAGCAATAGTTACCGAAGCACAAATTTTTTCAATAACAGAAGGGTGCGATACTAGATCTGAGACCACTAACATATTTTTTGTCCAACACTTCCTTCCAAAACATCCCCTCAACATTTATTCGTGAAACTATATCTAGTTCGCTTGCAAGGAGTTAATCCACCTCTCATTAGCTCAAATCGAACACCGGAAAGCGGTTACGTTTGTCAACTTTCTTTATCCTATCCGCATTGTCAATTTGCAGACAGGGACCAGCTTACAGCTGCGTAATCTCGGAAAGAAAGCGATATCTTTTACTGCTCCGCTTGGCCTCAATAGTTAACAAGACCCCATTTCTGTTTTTCGCTGAACCATGTGATAGCTCCTCCTGCGCACTTGCAGACTATGACCCTTCCACAGAATGTCTACTTTGAACATCCCCAGCATTGCTTTAGGCTTCCAGATCTCCAACATTATAGTTCCGTCAGAAATCCATAATCAAGGTAGCAAACAGTTCTTTTTACAGCTCCCCAGTCGGACACTCTTGAGTTCACCAAAGGTTCGGATATCACAATGACCATTTCAAAAAAGGAACGGTTATTAGATACATACAACTTGGAGTTAGGGTCGGCGGAAAGCTCTGCACTGGCATCGCTCAATGTTAGTACAATGCCACAGCGTGTGCCCGTTGATCTTTAAAGAGATCACAATTTCTTAATTGTAACACCTGAAGGTCTAAATAGCAATTTAAGGCATTCACTGTTTAGGCAAACGACATATGAAAATTTTCTGCAACAAATACGTATAGTCATTTAAGTAAGCTAGCCTTTTAATCCGTCTTCGGGAAAGTGTCTCCGGTTTTTCCATATTTTCACCAGAACTGCATCTTCTTCGATCGCAGCTGAGTCGTCTTACTCCTTTTGGTCCTGTCACCGTAGGAGACTACCCCACAGCATGGTCATCAACCGAAGCTTCGGCTTCTTGATTTTCCACTACAACTTCACCTCTCAGAATTTTGAAACTATATGGTGTCCGCTGTTTAGGTTTTTTCGGAAGAATCTTGCTTCGAAATGCACACTTTGAATGCAAGTCCGTAATGGAGCGCCAGAGACGCCATTAAACGGATGGAGCTAAAAATAATGCACGCCCGAGCGTTAACTGAAGCCATTGAATAAAAAATAATTTTATTCAATGCTGAAGCCCTGAGCTACTAGACTTCAATGTCAACTTCGTCGTCGATTTTATTCCCCTGAGTGACGTCGTCGACGGTATTCCTAACCCGCTCCTTTGCTTCCAAAAATCTCGCATCGCGCGTGACGGGACGTGTCTTCACTTCGTTGACCAGATTCGGTACGCTTTCGATTCGTTGGCATACCCAAGGAAAAGGCCTCCTGCGTGCCGGGGTTTTTTTCCGCTCGATTTAATGCACTATTACTACCGCAAAGGATTAAAATGTTCGTAGCTTCTTCAAAACCTATTTCGCACAAAAATAAAAAACGACGTATAAAAATACGAGTACTTTCCTTCGCAGATTCCGCTAAAGCCATATACTCTGCTTCCGCAGTTGGAAGTGCGACATCCATTGGCATCTTGGCATCCCAGGAAATTGGTGAACCGTTCATTAGAAAAGTATACCCGGTAAATGAACGACGATCCTCAGCGTTACTTCCCCAATCCGCATCTACAAAACCTTGTACGGCTTCGTGGCCTTTTCCAAAAGATAAGCCTATGTCCAACGCGGCTTTCCAATGTTGTTAAACTCCATGTTGTTAAACCTCCATGGAATTATTTACTGTGAGCTTCGTCCCACTTTCGATTGGTGTGGATACCAGGTTGCCCTCGGCCATCCTAAATCGGCTCAGCAAATCGTTTATGTTGCTTCATCAAAATGAGATTGTCTCTTCTTGTAAACTCTATTCCCAGGCAGGAACTCACGTCTCCCAAAATCTCAAAACGATTGGATAAGTATTTCTCGACCATTGAAATTACGGACAACAAATCCGGATTTATTTCTACATTCATATCATTTAATTTGTCGACGGTATCGAAAAACGTATTCAAATGTTCACGTGTATCACCGTTATCGTGTTCATGTACACAGACGAACGAGCAAAAAGTCCAAATGACTAAAATCTAATCATTTAGCCCCTTGACCATTGTCTACCTATTACTGAAAATAGAATGGGAAAATTCGAACTTATCATGTACACAAACGGACAGACAGACAGAAAGTCCAAAATCATGAAGTCGCTTTTAGGAGATCGTTAATAAAGTGTTATTTTACTATTTGAACGTAAATATGCCGTGAACAGTTGAAGATAGGTATATAGAACATTTACAAGCAATCTAGATTTTTCTGGAGAATCCAAAAATGCAATAATATACGGGGTACTTGTATTTAAGGAAAAAGTATGTTTTATGCCACGTTTTTGTGGGGCACCACGTATACATACATATTGTGTCAAAATATGCGAAATTCAAAAACAATATCGACGGATCCGAGCGTATATTTCCGAACACGCCACCATTTCATTTTTATTGAATTTATACAGTATTAAATCACAACCCTGTAGGCTGTATGAATGTATACAGGGTGTAGCACCTAAGATTCCTCGGATCATAACTCCTTTACCATAAAAGATACCGAAAAAAGTCTTAGACCAAACTTGTTCACAATTACCGCCGGCATGTTTTTTAAATATGTTTGATCCCAAGGGGCGTGCTGTATTCTCCCCCCCCCCCCCCCCCCCCCCCCCACATATTTTATTACTGATTTGGAGAGTACTTTAATAGTACTTATTTTTTTAACACGTAACATGTTATACCCCTAACTTTACGATTTCGATGTTATAACCTTTGTTCGTCAAAACTTCAGTGTTTGAGAGAAACTAAATCGCGGAGGCGCCACAGGTTAAGACCTTTCCCATAATCGCATAATTTTTTTAGGTATTTTATTGAAAAAATAAAATGTTTGAATGACCTTCGCTAAATGTCATATTTTTTAAAAATTTCAAATGCCACCCCCCTAAACAAATTATACCTCTGGGTAGCCAAAACTACAAATTTTCCACCGATATAAACAAAACAACACATTCCATAAGAAAATTTCAGAGAAACACCAAGTCGAAACGCCAATTTGTAAAAAAAACGTTCTTTTCCGAACCCAAGTGTGCCATGATAAAACAAAAGATGTTCAATTCTCACAATTAACAGTAAAGTGTCGGCAGTGTATGATTTTTTTAAATCAACGCCAGCGCCCCCTACGTGCGTGGTACGTAAAAATGTTTTTGGACGTTTTTGGTTGCATACTATATTACATTTCAAACTTGTAGGTAATTTATTCGTGAAACCACAAAAAAAGGATTTCTTAACATTTTTTTTCTTATTTTCAAGATTTGAGAGGGTTGTGGAGGGAATTTTTGGTGGGAAGTTAAAAATTTGGATTCAACAACCCAAAAAACATAAAGTAAGCCTATTTCCAGAACTACCATTAATTTTGCAAGCTAAGGTCCTCATATGTTCTTTATTGCCTGAACTAAGAACTTTTTTTTAAATTGACTCACCCTCTTTCAACCATTGTCCCCTGGAGATACCTACATTCATAAAAATGTTAAAGGAGAAAGGTATAAAGTAATACCTCATTTGCAGTGTTTTTTCCACCCGACATGTTGGCGTTTTTCGATTCGAATATTTAGAAAAACAGTTTTAAATTCACAGTTAAACAATGTACCTAATTGTGTTTACGTTGTTTTTATTTATTGAATTCGTTTTTTTTTGTCATGGATTTGTTTTGGTGAGCACATTAGTGTGACAAGTTTTTAAAAAACTTAACAAGAACGGTTAATTATGTTTCAAGTGAAAAGGTTGATATTGTGTTAATTTCTGGAGCCAAAAAGCAATGTGCTCGGCGAACTGTAAGCGTCCGGACAAGGTAACTTCTAGGTAGGTACGTCCTAAACGTTATTGCTAAATTTATTCAGGCTGGATCTGTTGCAAATTTAAAACATAATCAATCAGTCACGCGTTTTAAATGGAGCCGCTCGAATTGAGGTATACTTACTATACATATTGGGTCAATACAACCGACCGAATTTACTTATTCGTCTTCAATCAAGTTTATTGCTATATTTACTGTAACTTCACTTTGTCCCAGTGCTCCAAGGGTCTCATACCTACTTTGATTTCCAAAAAATAATACAGTGCTGCGAATCTCACACAGAGTAGGGTGGAATAGGTACCTATACAAAATATAAACATTACGTTTACGTTTTAGTTTCAAATGCAAATTTAAGTCCAAATTAAGAAAAATATTTTATGTTGTCGGCGTAATAAGCTCATACCGTTGAGTGAAGGATCTTCACTCAACGCTCATACTGTATTATAAAAAAAAGGAAAAAGTGTACGTACTTAGATTTGATAGTTACATAAAACTACTACTGCTCCGCATACATGCTCCATCTATACAGCATTATGGTAAACAGAAATCCTCTATAAACGTGTATTTACAGTTTACATTTGCAACGTAAGTCGTAAAGAATGGTCAAACATGGAAAACTAAAAATTATGCAAATACGAATTTGTTCTTTAGGTAGGGTAGGCATAGACAAAAGGCGGTTTATCTGTTATTTAGGTACTATGTATTATCTATACTAATTTAATTTACAAATTACACCTAGTAGTTTGGGCGCTATTTAAGTTGAGATCATTGAAT